TAATATATTTACTGAGAAAAATGTTGACGTGTTCAATACTTATTTTACCCGCTGTAAATAAATTTAAAAAAACTAAACCACTTTTGAGCAGCACGCTGGATGCACACTCAGTTCTCAAGGTGTGACAGGAGGATCTGATGGTCCAATAACATCCAAACAACAGTCTGTAGCTTAAATAACATTGTCAACAGATCCAAGTTTCTACAGCTGCAGTCATGGCTCTGTGAGGCTCAAACAAACCTTTAAATCTCTTTAAAAAATGAAGTGAAAAATCATCACATTTGTAATATTAAACTAATGCATATAAGATGACCAGTAAAAACACCATCATAAAAAGTGCTTTAAACCAGTGGTTCCCAAACTTTTCAGCTTTTGACCCACAACATCCCAGCAGCAGACCTGAGCCCCCAGCTGTTGAGAAACATTGTTTTCACGTCAAATAAACAAGAGCATAGCAGCATTACTTATTAGGCTATTTTTGTCCATTTTAAGTAAACTACTCTTATTATTTTGTAACAACAAAGGGAAAAAATGTCAGTTGTCATTTTTTAGTATAATTAATTCAAAGAAAATATTTTCAGGACCCCACCTTGATGTTTCAGGACCCCACTGTGGGTCCCGACCTTAACTTTGGGAACCACTGCTTTAAACATTTACAACCATCCAGATAAAAGTAGCTGAGAGTTTATGCTTCATGTCAACACATTTTAAAAATATACACAACAGCAGTAAGTATCAAAGAAGCAGCAGCTGTAATTTATAAATCTGTTAAAACCTAGAACAGAAATAATAGAACTCCTGGAACAGAGTGTGAGCAGCCTTGTTCTCTGCAGTCCGACAGCACATAAAACAACATTAGATGAAACACAAACAGTGACACTACAGAAACCGTGGTTCTGATCCATCCCAGAACAGAATTGTTTGTAAATCACCTTGTTTCTGGTCCAGTCTCTGCTTTACGACACTCACCAGACGTACATGAGCACCATCGTCCTCAGGCGGAGGACTGGGTGCATCGCCAGCTGCAGAACACCAGTCTGCCTGGTGCTATGGTTACCAGGTTTGGTGGCACCAACGCGGTGCAGTATCAGGTTGTTGGCGTTGTTGCCGTTCCTCAGTGCAACATAGCGCAAAACCTGAAATTCAGAAGCACAAACTGGAATTTATAAGTGTCTGCAGAATAATGGGAATTAATGGTGACTACTCATCCTGCCTGTTATTCTTTGTTTACTGCACCAACCAACAGTTGTGTTTGATATGATGGAAAATAAAAGTTCACCCACTTTTAAAACCTCCTTTATCAGCAAAAACCTTCAATTGATGTTTTCTCAACGACTTGATCAGTCTCTCATTTCACTGTGGAATTCAATCAGCTGCTTCTCTAAAGTTCATTGTTGATGTTTTTAGCATCAACACACACCTGTATGCTCCATACAAAACTCCTGCTTTCATAGATACTCACTGATAATCAGTACCTTAGTACTGATCAGTAACTACAGCAGGTAAAATAAGTATTGAACACGTCACCATTTTTCTCAGTAAATATATTACTAGAGGTGCTAATGACATGAAATTTTCACCAGATGTTGGTAACAACCCAAGTGTTGGGGTTAGGGTTAGGTGTTGGGGTTAACAGTTCACTGTTGGTATGGTGTTTTTGGGCTGATGTGCAGTGCCATTTGACCTCCAAACATGATGTG